CTTTCTATATAAGCTTTAAATTAAAGCTTTATTCATTTTACTTACTTATTTTTTAAGATTTATTTATTTATTTGGTGGAGAGATAGAGAGAACAAGTAGGCAGAGAGGCAGGCAGAGGGAGAGGGAGAAGCAGGCTCCCCGCCGAGCAGGAAGCCCGATGTGGGGCTCGACCCCAGGACCCTGGGACCATGACCTGAGCCGAAGGCAGCCGTTTAACGACTGAGCCACCCAGGCGCCCCAAAAGCTTCATTCATTTTAAAAGACATTCATGACTGCTGAAAAAATCATTTTTTATTTTAAGGGAAATGGCAACCACTTTTGCTCGCCTATGCCAACAAGTTGATATTACACAAAGACATCTGGAAGAAGAAATTGCTAGATTATCCAAAGAAATAGATCAGCTGGAGAAAATACAAAACAATTCAAAGTTCTTAAGGTATTTGAACCTTTTTTCCCAATAATATGAATATTTATTGGTCTAATTACCTGAATAATGTAAAATTACTAGTGAATTTGTATTAAAACTTTCTACATTGGCTTAAATTATTTTCCATATTCCATATGTTTTCCATTTTCAGTGAAACCTAATTTCAACAAGAAAAAGCAAATCTAAAAAGATTAAAAGGAATTTTTTAGATCTTTATCTAAAACTTGAAGCCATACTAGTCCCTGTTCAGAGCAGAAGTTTTGTAATTAAAAGTGCAAGGGTTTTTTTGATTTGTTTTAAGATTTATTTTAGAGAGTGGGTGCGTGCTTGCACATTTGTACCACCTGTGTGAGTTGTGGGGCAGGGCGGAGAGAAAGAATCTTCAAGCAGACTCTCTGCTGAGCCAGGAGCCTGATGCGAGGCTGAGTCCCAGGACCCATGAGCTCATGACCTGAGCCAAAACCAAGAGCTGGACACTCAACTGACCGAACCACCCAGGCGCCCCCAAAATGCGAGTTTTTAGTCCTCTGTATTCAAGACCCTTAACTTCCATTTTCATTGGGGTACTGTTGGGTGTGCTTAAATTTGAAGCAACAAAAGTAAACAAGATATCCTAATATGTGCAGTTCTTATCATGGATTCTGTGGGGTCTGATTAAAGTGTGCCTTCGGGGACCTGAGCAGGAGTGTCACCATGAGGTGACTACTTCTTGGTAGTTCCTAACTTTCAGCTTTTATCCATTAGCTGGCTCACCAAGTATCAGTAAGCATCAGTTAATTCCTGCTGCCGTTTACCAGGGCGTGTGCTACATACAGTTGGCGCATGTAAGAGCAGCTTGCAGTGTCTCCAAATTGAGCTAAATTTTGGGACATACATCTAAAACACGTGCAGTCGAGTCTATCCACGGTGTCTTAATCTGATCCGCAATGAAATTGTCATCGCTCAATTTCATAATCTCTGGAAAAGACAACTGCCTGTCACTTAGACCCCAACCTCCTTATACATACAAACACACCCAAGTGAATTTCATTATTCCGTTTCGCCTGTTTTAAGCTAGATCATCTCAAGTACAGTCTTTCAAATTTAGTATAATTTTTTTTTTACTTAGGTAAGTTTTTTTTAGTAGTATTTCATCTTGTTACAGTAAAATGTAAATGATACTATTGGCACTTACTGTAGCTTTTTGATTTTGACAGGACTGACTTGGGTAAGTATGAATAGTTTTGATCTGCTAATCCTTTTCCTAACAGGAAAGTTTAAAATAACAAATACCATAATGTTTAGAATCTCCATTGTTACTAGATTAGGCTTAGCGATTCAGATAAAACTTACCTCATGCTTCAGGAGAGTTGCCTGAAGAAACATACAGTGGAGTCCATCTGTACATTAACTCATATGACCTTGACCATATGCTCCCAGCAATAGTGCAAGACCAAGAGAAAAGAGAGCAGCTCATTCAAGTATGTCCGTGCCCTGGCATAGTATGAGAATGGGAGACACAATCTGTGTTCCTCTGTCAATGTTAGTTCCTATTTTCCTCTTGTTAGGGTATTTGGCTGCATCAGGTATGATTCTAGTATTAAAAAAACTTTTGGTATACCATGGTCCTTTGACATCTGACAGCTACTTTATGTATACAGAAAATCAGTTATTCTAGACTATGTGCTTAACTTAAAGGGAATTCAAGGACAGTTATGACTGTGACTTAGAATATAATTCCCATGTAAGGTAACAGGACTCCGTTATCTCTTACGCTTTTCATTCTTAAGTTTTTGGTTTTTACCTCAGTGTACCTTTTTAAAGTTCTGGACATTGGATTCTGTGTTTACAGCAAAGCTATAGTAGCATATATACATACTCTTAAAAGGTTGATAATAGTTTAATCTGAGTTCAGATAAATGTAGCAGCACCTGACTAGTGGTTTTTTTAAGATTGGATGGAATGCATTTTTTTCTCATTGGCTTTTATGATAATTAGATTGGTGTTTTATTCATTTTTTTAAATTAGAAATAAAGCTCTTCAACTTGAAAATGAGCTGGAGAATTTTACTAAGCAGTTTCTACATTCAAGCAAAGAAGAAGAATCTTAACAGATTGCTTTGGTGATCATCATAGGAGAAAATGGAACTTGGAAGACTGGGACAGTTGTTTATGGAATGACCTTAAATATGAATTATACTAACTGTACCTAAATTGCAAATCCTTGTGTAGATTCTGGTAATGATCTATCTCAGGGTGTTTGCATTTCTGAAGAGTGTTATGATGTTTTAGTTTTAATTTTGGGTACAGAAAAGGCTAAATTGTGTTAAAAATAATGAATTAGTTAAAAGCAACAACCAACTATGTGACCCCTGAGGGGTGGGGCCTTGTTCTTAATTAGGGCTCTCTTTGTTTTTGATTCTGAAAAACTCTGCTTCCTGGCATCCAGGAGTTAGAGAATGCTTTCATCTTTTCTCAAAACTAATTTTTGATGCCTACCTTAATGGGAATAGTCATTTGTTTTTTGTTGTTTTATAAACTGTATTGCTCTATCAAGGAGGAGTGTGTGGAATGTTCTTGAGTATATCGTTTATGCAAGTTACAATCACTTTTGCCGTCCTGGCAGGTATGTAAACCACTAATATTACTGTTTTTACTCCCTCTTTTTTCCCATTAAAACTGATGTAAAATAGTATACAGGTTTATGATAAAGTCTCTCATAAAAGTATCTGGGTCTGAATAGTTTCTAAAGAAACATTTTCCGCTTCAACTAGGATTATGGCAAGGAAACCATTCTATCTCAGTTTTAGGAATACTTTGATAAAAATAGCCAAAGATACGGGAGCTCTGAATTTTCAGTGGTTATGGTCATGTACAAATGTTACTCTTCAGAAGGTATTCGCCAAGGATACTGCTGGACTGTCCCCCTGGGGGGCCTTTATTTTTATTGTATGAATTTGCCAGGGCACTGTTGATACTATTTTAATTTTTAACAATGAAATGTTCATGAGTTCAAGTACTGTGTCTGTTTCTGTGTAAAAATTAATAGAAACTTATTTGGAAACATAAAAAATGGCATTCTAGGGCTTTGCTACGCAAAATGTAGTCTGAGGATCAAAGCAGCAGCATCTAGATTCTTGTTAGATGCATGACGACAGTGCATTTGGCCAGGAATGGTTTCTGCTTCTCCACAGAGCAATAAGATGTTAGGCTCTTTTATATCCATAATACTCAGTATTTCCTTTCTTGTGCCTTTAAGGCTCCTGGATGCTCCTCAGTCTTTTCATAGCAGGTGCAGCACTATTTTCCAGGATATTTTAAGGAGAAAATTACATTACTTATGTCACAGAAGCCTTTCAAAAATATATTTTTATGTAGATCAGATACTAGGATGCAGTATTAAAATCCAAATACTAGTTTATAGCTTTTGTTGCTGCTTTATAACCAAAAAATAGTACAAGCTACCAACAAATGGAATTAGGTAGCAACTGCCACGTGAAAAACTGATGTCTAAAACTGGGTACAGTGAATTTAGGTTACAAGTTTAAGACCTTAATCTTTATGTGAAAGTACTTGAACTTTTTGAAATAGCATAGTGGTTTGGTATCACCTCCTTAGTAGTACAGTGGCTGTCAAAGTTTGGTCCCTGGATTAACTGTACATCACTTGTGAACTTCTGAGAAGTGCATACTGCAGGGTCTCCCCCTGACCTACTGAATCCAGTAGTGTTGCAGCCTGTGTTAACAAGCTGTCCAGGTGATCCACTGAGGCACACTCAAGTTTGAGAACTACTGGAGTAGTGGTTCTGGTATAGTGAAGCTACAGTAAGCAGTTTGAATGCAGTTCCACCTGATCAAGTTTGAAAATGCATGAATGTTGGAAATGTGACACTAAAATAATGAAACCCACCCTTTATGCCTGGAGATCTTTGCACCTCTGACTAAGCCCATGAATTATACAGGAATTATGTAATTCACAGCTGTAGTTCCAAGTTGTTGCAAATACTTGATGGTTTACCGTATATGTTTGCAGGATTATTTATAACTTTGTATAACCGTAAACTTTATACAGAACTACATTTTTATAAGTATGCACGTGAAAATAAAACTTGTTTGCCTGATAGTTGATAAATGTAGCGTTTATAGTGGCAGTGAGTTTTAATCTTCATGTTTGCAGTAGGCATGTACAGTGTCTTGGGTAGACTGGCTCATGCACCTGGCCAAGTAAGGAAGTTCCCTCATTCATTCTCCAAGGATGTGGTACTGAAAGCAGTAACTAACTCTGTAGCCTTTTAACAGTAGGTAGCATTCATAGTGGTAAGGAGTGTAGGTTAAGGAAAGGAAAAAGGCTTGGAGTTTACTTCTGAGGCTTAATTTTTAGTGTTGATTAAGATTTTATTTATTCATTTCGGGGGGGAGGAAGTAGAAGGAGAGGAAGCAGCAGGCTCCTCACTGAGCAGGGAGTCTGAGCAATGCGGGACTCAATCCCAGAACCCTGGGATCATGATCTGAGCTGAAAGCAGATGCTTAACCAACTGAGCCATCCAGGCGCCCATTTTTAGTGTGATTTTTAAAATTAAAACACACTACATGAAATCTGGTTAAAAGCACTTTATTGATTACAATATCAATTCACAGCAACATTTCACAGAGCTACTGTACAAATAAAGGAATGAATCACTGTGCAAGAAAGATCCAATACTATTAAATCATGGTACAAGTCCATAGTTTGGCTTAAAGCTTTTATGAGCTTTAATCTACGTTCACCTTGCCCATAGTCCTACTACTGACATCAAAGTCAATTGGCTACAAGTTTGTAGAAACCACTGTAGGTGAAGAAAAACATTTTAATCAGCTTTAAAAACCCACTTCTGTGTGGATGGCTTTGGATAAGAATATGCGAATCCAAGTGTTCAGATGCTTTGAAAACAATAGAGCACCATTGTGTAAAAGACAAAAGGCTTGAAATATCTACCAAGTATCACTGAAGTTCAATTAAAAAATAAATACTATATGATGTAAGATTTTGTCGGGAACACTTAACACCAGCTGAAACACATAACCAGGTTTTTCATGATGCTGCATTATAACTATTTTATAGGATCAGTAATTGGATTTAAGAAAAAAGACTTAGGAAATTTTATCAACATGCAAACAAATCTGCTAAATACAAGGTGTACCATCAATCTGTGACTAATAAACTTTTAAAAGATGCACTCCTAGCTTAGACATTCAACTACAAACCATTTTAATGAGTACCTATTGTAACCAGTTTTTAGATATACCACAGAATTTAAGGCAACTCAAAATGAGCAGGAGGAAAAATGAGTAAATACAAAACATAATACACCTAAACTTAATCTAATTTAAAACCTTTTTTTTTTCATTGTGCTACTCTTTCTCACAAGAAAGGTGGTCTAACCTTGAGGGTGTTTTAAAAAATTCTAAAAGTGTAAAATTTTGCTTTCCACAATGGCAAAAGGGAAATTTGAAGCTGAACTTAGTACTTGATTTAAAAGCAAAAATTTTTAAGCATGACTTATACCCTAAAGATTCTAGAGAGAATATTGTGAAAATGATAGACCCATTTAGAAGAAGGCCCATTTAGAAGATTGTTTAATCAGTTTCTTTAAGTTTAAACATCAACAGGTAAGCCACAAGTATTCACTTGCCTTGTAATTTAAAATGTGAAACATTCAACAGTAACCAAAGCATAAATTTCCCTGAATGTTTTCACTTTTAAAAAGGTTAGAATTATTAAGTCTAAAACCTCAATACTGTTGGAAAAGGTCAGTTATAGTGTTGGCACAGTATATTTTAGCAATAAAAATTTCATTGTCACCTGGAGAAGGCAAGATCCATTTCTCTTTAAAATTGCTTAACACGTTCCAGAAGCACCTACATCCATATGTCTAGGATACCAGTTTACTATCATCATGCAGTATCAGAGTTCAGCTGAGTCTACATTAAAATAAGGAGAATGGCCTATTAGACTCTTAAATTGAAATACTAAACCCAAATTTTTGCCTCTGTGAAGATGAACTCAGTGTGGTGCATGGGACCATGGGATCCCAACTAGAAAAATCTGAGCGAGGGAGGGACCTTGGATATTCAGTTTAAACCTCTAATACAGCTGCCAAAAATGAGGCCTGCCTGCCCATCAAGGTGGAGAGGTCTTTGCTATCAGCTTTTGGGACGTCTGCTGATTCACAGGGCAATCACTATCACTCGTTTTGGAAAAGAATACGTTCTCTTAAACTATTCTTGCCAGATCTGAAAAAGCCACTCTTTAGGAAATGATTAATGAATCTATAAACATGCTGAGGCATATTATGTTTAATGTTTCTTATAAGGTAAAAGAAAACACGCACCAGATAAATGCAACAATCCTGATGCGAATTCTTTAAAACTGTATAGTAGTACTATATTACTCTTCATGGTTACAAGTCTTAGGCACAACACTTAAGACTATCAGCTGAACTCAAACTGCAAGTAAATAAATATATTTAGCAATTGGAACCTATATTACTAGAGAGCAAAGGTTTAGATAGTAAGTAAATGTGGTAATGAGGTCACCATTTGGTCATATGTATATAGCCACAACAGTGGTTGGGTCTTAGTTGCCTAGTACACATTTAACTATGGGAACTGCTTTTAAGCTTATCTACAAAGACTAACTCATTCTATCAACATGCTTAAGACCACGGATTTCTTGTAGTCTGTGCCTCTCTGAAAAAATTATCTTGTTATTAGAATAACTTTCAAAGAGGAAGAGAAACTCTCATATATACATTATGTGGCTATTTTGCACATGGCAGAAGTGCTTTCTTGAACAGGGTTTTGGAATGAATTGCTGAACTACATGGCAAACCCACACCTTCTTGGGAAATGATTATGTTCCTTTAAAATATTCTTGTCTTACCTCAAAGAGCTATTCTTTATGAAATGACAGTCCACAAACATTAACTGCAAAAAAAGTTCATAGAAATCTTGTGTGTGTTTATAAATACACATTCATGCCTGCCATCTACAATAGTTTATTTTTGGTCCTATATCTTAATCTTTACCCATTTTCTTTTTATTATCAGCTATCTTAAAACTGATACAGACTTCAGTATAGTTGATGCACTTACTTAGCACATTCACAATATAAAAATGAAAATTCACAAGTAAAATTTGGGGAGTATTTAGATTAGAATTACATGTGATCATTAAGTTGAGACCTATCTCAATAGTAATGGACATGGTTCACTAAATTACAAAAATAATGCACTTCTATATATGAGAATAGTCCATGACTTCACCATCAAGCAAGACTAAATCTACTGTCAATTATTTAGCTTTAGTTATAGGGGAAAAGTATCTTTGTTTAAATTGGGGGGGGCATTCTAGTAATAGACACATTATGTCATTGACAAACAGGAATTGCTTAGTACTTTCCTCTGACTCCTTTAAAGACTGCTCTTGGAATTTTTCTTTTGGCTGTAAAGTGGAGTCACTTGGATCTAAGCATTCTTTTTGGCGAAATCACTTAGAAACCATTATTTTGTGCCAAGAGAAGAATTACAGAAGAGCAAAAAGTCTGAATATTTCCTTTTTTAAATTTAAGTCACAGATAATATAAAATCTGAATTAATATAAACTATTTGAACATAAATTCATAAAGCTACCTTGCTACACAATTATAACTAATCAAGTCTAGTGACTGGTTAGATACTAACACTTTTTTTTTCAACAACATAATGCCATCACATATTTCCCATCTACATGTATATCAACGGAGAACACGGGAAAATTCTTCAGATGCAAGGACAATCCAAACGTTAATCTGAAATAATGAGTGTGCCCTACAAACTAAGTTCTAGAATATGAAATCACTAGGAAAGCCCAACTATTTAGAGGGCTACTCAAAGTGTCATTTGATCAGAACCAGATTTTTTAAATGTCAAGAACCGTTTTTATGTAATTACTGCTATTAATATGAGTTTACGTATGTCTAAAATTGCAGAATGAAATCTCGATTCCCTGGCCTTCAGATTATCTCCCCCTCCAAGGACTGAAAATGAGCACTTACTTAAATTCATAGGATGGCAAAGGATGCACCAGAAACCACTGATATTCAACAGGGACTGCCCTCAGAGGTACCTAGTGAGCATTCTTAAATTAAGCAACCAGGAGCTCTTTGAGATTAAAAAGGAAGGTCAGAAATCAAGGAGACCTTCTTCAAACATAAGTACACATACATATGGGATCACTTCCATCTATTACTGTGCCTACTTCCTCCATTACAAAACTCAAAAATGTGGTATTATGTATAAAGTTAAAAATGTAGGTCTTAAAAAATGCAAACACAATCAAACATGATGAACGGCTATAATGTGTACATTCTGTCCTACACAAAATAATTTGAGTACAAGCAAAAATTCATCAAGGTTAAATTAGCTCAACTCAAGTTAATGCACTGGTCCTTTTGATCTCAGCAAGCACCCTTGCCTTTTTTTTTCCCCCACTTGTTTTGTAGTTTACTGAAATCTTTTTGTATATAATAATCTCAATAGAAAAATCTTCACTTGCAAATATAAGGTAGAATTTTCTTCTCACAGCGATAGGCTGTAGCACTGATTTCTCCAGATCGCAATGGAGAACAGAAAACCTGTACGCACTATTAATTCCAGATTCTGAGAAAACTGTCCCAGGAGCCTGTTGCTACAGCCATGCCATCATCTGTTACACCTAAACAGCTGACACGGTTATCATGACCAGCAAGAACACCTGAAAAACAAAAATTCAGTAAAAAGTTAACAACAGGCAACCTTCAGAATTAAACAAGTATATGCATAAAAGATCTAGAAGGGTATTTAAAACCTAAACAGGGAGCCTGGGCGCCAGGGGTAAGCTAGATATGTGAGCAAAATACAGTTCTTTGCATTACATGAATTTTTGACACGTACATCGGCCTTATGCTTATCACTTTTGAAATATTTTATAGTCATGCTTGGTTATATCTAGGGAAAGAGATGTATACTTTATTCTGCATCTCTAATTAAAGTTCATGATCTGACAGACGTTGCCACTGCTGTTTTCAAAACGAAATTTCAAATGCAGTTCAGTGAAGCAGTCTTTCACCACAGTAACAGTAAGGATGTTAAGAATGAAGTTGCCTGACATCACCACTTCCAAAAATACCAAATTAGTTTATGTACTTTGTTCTGTTAAACAGCTAACACTGCAATGTTTTGATTATAACTTTGGTTATAACCAACTCATCTAGTTTTAGTTTTGTATGTTAAATTTAAATTCATTTGATATTCAGATCACCACACGGGGTAAAATGAATATTCCCAAATAACTGCAAGGAAAATGAGAAATGTGAGATCGATAAGAAAAACTGGAATATATCAAATTCAAGAATTTTTTTCTTTAATAAACTGTGTTTGAGTTTGCAGTATCTCTAGATAATGAAGCAAAATCATTTTCACCCAACTTCAGGAACATAATCTTGTCTCAATATTCTCTGTAGTACATCCGGCACAGCAATGTTTGGCAATGGGCAAATGTACAATTACAGGTTGAAATAACAAAAAATGAGCACTGTGACTAAATTCATAGTCACATTGGAAAGGAAAATGAATTAGCAACTCACAAGTCGCCATTCAATTTTACTGTGAACGTATCCAGTTGAGCCAACTTGAAAACAAGCAGCTGTACGCAAAGCAAAACTAACTCAAGCATATGCTAAGTTATGGAAAACACACACATTCTAATTGTGTTACGGATACTAATTGATTCAATCCAGGCAAAACACCTAATATCTCTTTAAATAAAAGTCCTAATTGTGTAAACACTGACTGACATTCTCAATAAAATCCACTCTACATGGGAAACATTAGAAGATAGGAAGGATGTGGCTGTGGTGGGAGGAGAGATGTTAAAGCTGAACCCTTGGGGGCGCCTGGGTGGCTCAGTTGGTTAAGCGACTGCCTTCGGCTCAGGTCATGATCCTGGAGTCCCGGGAGCGAGTCCCGCATCAGGCTCCCTGCTCAGCGGGGAGTCTGCTTCTCCCTCTGACCCTCCCCCCTCTCATGTGCTCTCTCTCTCTCTCTTTCTCGCTCTCCCAAATAAATCAATCTTTAAAAAAAAAAAAAGCTGAACCCTCAACAGAGAACACCAAGAAGTTAAAAAAAAAATCAATGACTCATTTGAATTGTTGTTTTAAAACTTCCAGACATGTCTTTTGAGGGTCCAGCTTTAACACCACTCTCCCACTGCTCCCCAGTGTGGATACTAATAAACCACGTTGGGAGTGCGCATGCGTGCACACGCACACAAATCAAGTAATAACAAGAGAGGCATGTTACTTAAAGATCTGGAAGTAAATACTTAGGAGCTACCTTTGGGAACAGGATATAGGGGCTGTGGCCAGAGGACTGCTGTTTTGGTAACAAGCCATGTAGCTGTGTGATTCCATATGCATAATATTGATTCTAAAAAATACTTAAAAATCACTCTGTGGAAGCTGTTATTCTTGACAGTCTCCAGGGTGACCTGCTACACTCGCTAGTCTTCTGGCAGCTATGGGGGACAGCTCAGGGCTGAGGGGAAAGGGGGCTGTGTCCTGTCCCAGACAGGATCCACTCCGAAGGAAGAGGATTCACAGCCGTTACAGTGCTTCCTGTCAGGTCAGAAGAAACTCCACGCTGAATTAGACTCACTATTCATCTTTAGAGCAAAACTTACCAAACAAGAAGATATTCTAGAACCGGATGTCACTGCTCTTTACAAGATGGGAACATCACTATGGACCACGGATGAGAACTGCCAGCGTGCCCTTCCCCGCGGCTGTGAGGCGTCCAGGGAAGCTGCCCGTGTTTCCTGACAAAATCCAAACCTACCGTGACTTCTTTACCAACCTGCACGATCTCCTTTTAGCGTGTCCCACACATTACAGTTGAAGTCATCATAACCAGCTAACAGGAGGCGCCCGCTTTTTGAGAAAGCCACGGAAGTGATCCCACAGATGATGTTGTCGTGCGAGTACAGCAGTAACTCCTGGTCTGCGCGGAGGTCGAAGAGCCGGCAGGTGGCGTCATCAGAGCCCGTGGCAAAGGCATAGCCACTTGGGAAAAACTAAAAGCAAAGGAACACACATTTATTCCACAGAAGTCTACAAAATCCACGTGAGACAGTGTGATAAGACTCTGGGTGAGACAGACCTAGATTTGAACTCCAACCTGGCTTCTTCCCAGGTGAGAAACGTTGAGCCCCGAAAATTCTTCAACACTTTGGGCCTGAGTTTCAGAGTGTTGGTGAGGATGGAATGATCTAACATGCAAGGTCCATGGTTCAGCACAGAGCAAGTACTCACTAATCCTGGCTCTCTTCCTCCATTCAGCTTATTAAAAGATTCGAATCAAACATTACTGTTTACAGAATTTATATATGTGTTGTTTTAAACATGCCAAAATCCCATCATGAGAAATAAATAGGAAAGATTTGACAGAAGAGAATACAAATCATCCCAGTTAGGCTAGGTATAAAGTCAAGCTAGGAGTAAACTATGCATTATTAGTTTGTGAATCCCCTTTTCTCAGAACCTAGCACTACTCAACATTTTTTTTTTTTAAACACAGACTTTTTTTTTTTCATGTATCTTTTGGTCATCTGTATTACTTTTCTGAACTGATTCTTCACGACCTTTGCTTATTTTCTACTATGCTGTTAGTACTTGATTTGTAGGAATAACATGAATACAAACTTTATTTTTTTACAGATTTTAGTTTATAGTTTTTTATTTATTTTTCTTAAAGATTGTTTATTCATTTATTTGACAGAGAGCGGGAGACACAGTGAGAGAGGGAACACAAGCAGGGGGAGTGGGAGAGGGAGAAGCAGGCTTCCCGCCGAGCAGGGAGCCCGATGCGGGGCTCGATCCCAGGGCTGGGATCATGACCTGAGCCGAAGGCAGACGCTTAACGACTGAGCCACCCAGGCGCCCCTATAGTTTTCTTTTTTAAAACTATAAAGCAATATTTCATTTTTATGTAATCAAATTTATCTTTCCATTTGAGATTTCTTCCATTGTTTTTATGAGTAAAGTCCTTTCTGAACAGGCTTATTAGCTGATGTTCAATTACATCTTTTTCTATTTTTTTTTAAGATTTTATTTATTTGAGAGAGAGAGCATGAGCGCAAACACGAGTTGAGGGGAGGGGCTGAGGGAGAAGCAGACCCCCTGCTGAGCAGGGAGCCCGATGGGACTCAGATGGGACTCAATCCCCGGACTCCAGGATCATGACCTGAGCAAAAGGCAGACACTCAACCGACTGAGACACCCAGGTACCCCTCTTTTTCCAATTTTTTTTAAAGTAATTTCATTTTTTCACATCTTTTTATCTATCCAGGATTTATTTGATATACAGCATTCACTATAAGGATCTAACTTAATTTTCCTAATAGTCAAGTCATTGTCCCAGCTGTTGATTAAATAATCATTTTACTGATTTTGTTACATCTTTTATTCACTGAAGTAATATACACAAAAATTTTAAAGTTTTGTCTATCCTTTCTTGTACCTGTACCACACTTTGTAAAAATCCTGATAGTAAATTTTTCTATCTGGCATGGCAAAATACTCATGGTACTCTGATTCAAATCAGTCTGTTTTCTCCTCCCCCCACCCACTTCAATTTCACAGACATTTGATCAAGTTTCTTTTCTCCATATCCCTGACTCATCTCCAAAAAAAAAAAAAAAATCCACTTGGGTTTTTTTTGAGGGAGAGGGAGAGAATCCCGGCAGACTCTCCCTGGACGTAGGGCTCCATCTCATGACCCTGAGATCATAACCTGAGCTGAAACCAAGAGTTGGACACAACGGACTGCACCACCCAGCCACCGCCCCCCCATGTGCGTTTTATTTCAAATTTGTATTAAGCCTAAAAATTAGTTTGAGGGATAAATGATTAGCTTATAATATGCAGTCTTCTCATTCAGGAAGACAGTATTTTTTAAAAGATTTTATTTATTTTTTAATTTAGAGAAAACGAGTGCAAGAGTTGGTGCGGGGAGGGAGGGAATCTTAAGCAGGCTCTGAGGTGGGGTTCCATCTCATGACCCAAGCTGAAATCAAGAGCTGACGCTTACCTAAGCCACCCAGGCACCCCAGGATTATTTTTAAGTCATCTCCATACCCAACAAAGGGCTTGAACTCACAAGCCCGAGATCAAGAGTCACATGCTCCACTGACTGAGCCAGCCAGGTGCCCCAGGAATATTGATTAAAAAAAAAAAAAAAAGGAATGTTTCCACAAAATAAAGATTCTACACATTTCTTGCTAAATGTATGCCTCTTTCCTAATTTCTGTTGCTATTCCAGTAGGATTTTCTTCCTTTCTGTTTTCTACCTGGTTATTATTGGGGTTTGTATATAAGACAGTTACTGACTTTAAAAAAACAGTTTCTGTCGCCCAGAAAATACACCAAACTCTCTGTGATATCTAGATAGCCAGACTCTATCACCTGCAAATAATGATATTTTTTCTACTTTCTAATTCAGCTTTTATTTCAGTTTTGGGTCCAACTATACCAGCTGGAAGTTTCCGAACAATTGAAACAATGGTGATGGTATTATTGTACTGTTACTTAATACAGTGAGAATGCCTCCAGGGTTTTCACTGTTAAGAAGCCCCCCCACACACTCAGGATGATGGTGGAGGACGGCAGTGCTAACAGGGTAACAGGTTCTCAGAAATCCAAGTACTTTTTATTTTAATGATTTTAGGATGGTTCAAGCCTGGTCCCAGTGGAGATGGTTTTCCCACATCAAAAACAAGGAACTGCTTTTCCTTTTCAAATTCCCAAAAGGCTAAGGAACCTCTAGCCATCATTTCCTCTATCTACCAAGGATCCAATCATTAGTCCTCCCAGGCCACAGTGAAGTTTAGAAAGAAGGCCCTCTAGCAAGCGAAAAAGCTTCACCAGACCCTTACTGCTGCTCCCTAGAGGCTATGATTTTGACCACTTTCTTCCACTATAACAGCCAGCAAGATACTCTACATTGTTCCTTTGCAGGAAGTCCAACAACACCATTTACATACATTTAACAGCAGGTTAAACCTGTTCTCTACCATGGACAGATGAAAAACTATACTCAGTAAAGGCCAGCTAGTGCAGAACACCCAATCACAAAGCTCACCCCTTTTGGTTCAGTGTATGGGGCACAGCTTGCCAACAGTCTATGTTCAAGACAGGATGACCAGACATCCCGTTTTGTACAGGACCGTCCCCATTTAGCCTTTCTCCTGGGCAAAATTGGTAACAGCATTCTTTTACACTCAAAATTACACATTTCCTAGTTTGGATGATACATGATCACTTTACCAATACAATGAACTAGTTTTAATTTCCTGGGCGCTTAGGATGGCCCTAAGAGCTAGAGGGACTACTTTATAAAGTCTGCCAGATGCATTTAAAGAAAAGTGTGTGTGATGTTGGCTGTTCATTTATGTTGGGTTTGTTTGTTTTTTAAGATTTTATTTATTTGACAGAGAGAGAGAGACAGAGAGAGAGAGAGAGCAGGAACACAAGCAGGGGGAGTGGGAAAGGGAGAAGCAGGCTTCCTGCCGAGCAGGGAGCCTATGCGGGGCTCGATCCCAGGACCCTGGGATCATGACCTGAGCCGAAGGCAGATGCTTAACAACTGAGCCACCCAGGCACCCCTGTTTGTTTTTAATGATAGAGAAGAGCTTTCTAGTACTGAGTTTTTTGTTTTTTTTAAAAATGGGTGTTTGCTTTCTATCAGATACCTTTTGGTATCCAAAATACTGACAAAATGATTTGGTAAATTTTATCAATAGATTTCCTAATATTAAGTCATTCTTACATTCTTAGAATTTTTACTTGATAATTTTTTTTTTACCTTGACACATTGTTGGATTTGATTTGCTATATTTTTCCTAAGATGCTTTTATCTAGTTTTAAGGGAGACCCTTTTCTCGTGTTGTGATATAAGGGTTATGCTAGTTTGACACAATGAACTGGGAAACTTTTAGTCTTTTTCTGTGTTCAGGAACAGTTTTAATAGTGCTGAAACTCTGTTCCTTCAAAGTATGGATTATTTGCCAATAAACTACATGGGTCTGAACATTTTAATAAAAAGTAGTTTTAAACGATCAAGTTTTCATTTATTGAGTCAATTTTGGAAAACTGACTTAGAATTACCATAAGTTATATATTTTATGATTTTTAAAATCTTTAAAAAATAAAATAAAATATTTTATATGTAATATAACCTTTACTATTCTTAATTTTATGTATCTGCAATATTTATCCTTAAGTTTACCAGAGATTTAGGGAGTCAAATCTTAAAGAGTATTTGAATTTTTTAATTTTCTAATAGTTTTCTAGAAATTATAAAATTTTCTAAATATTTGTTCATTCAACAAGTATTCACTAAGCACCTACTGTATCATGCACAGTTCTAAATGCTGGTCTGGTGATAAATGGAAGTCAACAAAACTGACAAAAATCTTTGTCTCCATGGAGCTTACATTCTTGTGAAGCAGACCATAAACATGAAAAGCAAATAAAAAATAAGCATGTTAGATCATGGTAATATTAAGGAGGGGAAAAAAAAAAAGGCCAGGAAAAGAGCAAGGGCGCATGGGCAAAAGCTTAGAGTGTCCAGGGAAGACACTACTGAGAAGTAGTATTTACTGAAGAATCCTCCCCGACCCCCACCCTGCAGGAGGTGAAGTGATGGGATTCTGTTGGGAAGATCAGAGACATAGGGGTAGAAAATGTGCCAGGGGCGGGGGGCAGCGGTGGCAAGGAGCCCAGTGTGACTGAGGCAGAGGGACGACTGGGCAGTTCAGACAGAGAGGAAAGCAGTGTAGGTCATGGGTGACCACAGGTCCACAATCCCTAAGAGGCTGATATGAACCCCTCAGGATGGCTGTTTTTCAGAACTTAAAGAGTTTTTCGGATTTTAGAAGAGGAATATGCTGTGTATTAAGAACAACTCCACTGGGCCCGAAGTAGCATGCTGTAATGAACACAACAGTGTGTCCAGTGACAGATACAGTCATCCTAAGTGGGGTAAGTAAAGACTATAAACTGCTCCTTGTTGCTC